CTTCAAGGCGCGTTACGTGGCTCGAGGCTTCAGTCAGCGGCAGGGAGTTGACTACTTTCAGACCTTCTCTCCCACCCCGAAGATGACCACTCTTCGGGTACTGCTGCACGTTGCTGCTCACCGTGACTACGAGCTGCACTCTCTTGACTTCAGCACAGCTTTCTTGCAGGGCAGCCTGCACGAGGAGATCTGGCTGCGCCGCCCACCTGGCTTCACTGGGTCGTTCCCTCCTAGTACCCAGTGGAGCCTCCGGCGTCCAGTTTACGGTCTCCGCCAGGCGCCACGTGAGTGGCACGACACACTGAGGACTACACTTGCGGCTCTTGGGTTTGCTCCTTCTACTGCCGACCCGTCGCTGTTTCTACGCACCGACACCTCTCTGCCGCCGTTCTACATCCTCGTGTACGTCGACGACTCGGTCTTTGCCACAGCTGACACTGCTGGACTCGCCTGCGTGGACAGTTGCGGCTTGCGTACATGGCCTCTGAGGCCAACACTGCTGATGTTTTCACCAAGGCACTTCCGCCTTGTGATCATCAGCGCTTCTGCACTCAGTTGGGTCTTGTCCCTGTCTTGCCTCACTTGCTCACCTCTTGACCTTGCTTGTACTGTTACATATATATATACCTGCTCTTGCTTGTCTAGCCTTTTATATATATATGTACTCCTGCATGTGAACTGGCCTTGTTGCCTTGTACTTGTGCTCGGAATGTGTGGTGATTTTGTGATCCACCCTGAGCTTTGCTTTGTTTTGCTTTGCTTGACTGGTCTTGTGACCCCCTGTTCTCCCCCACTTTGCCTATGGGGGTGTGTCAGAACATTATAGCTTATGCTTTTGTGTAAGATGTAGTGGGGTATCCCATAGAGGGTACGACCCAATTAGGGTTAGTACTTGTACCCACTTCATTCATAGTTCATTCATTTCTCGTTTCAGTTTTCTCAAGGCGTAGCAGAAAGAATGAACAGGACTCTCCAGAACCCCATGCGCAAGCTGCTACGAGGCATGCGACTACCCAACCACCAGTGGCCCAAAGCAATGGACCACGCTGTCATGCTGCACAACTTGCTCTCGTCATCATCGCTCCCGAACAACGGGTCACCGCACCTGATGTGGACAGGAAAACAGGGCAGCACAAAAATGTTAAGAGTTTTCGGCTGCATGGTACAGTACCGACCCCCATCTGCATGAGCTGGCCGATTTTCCCAACGCACACAGTGAGGACTACACCTGGGCATCGAAAGAAACTACAACGCAAGGAAAATTTTCGACGTCCACTCCAAGGAAACAGTAGCAGCACGTGATGTCATTTTCTACGAATGACTCACCCTTCCGACGTATCTTGCCAACCTGGAAGAAGATCAGGACCCCACAGGTGGCTTCTGTGGTGACCGAGCCTTCGCCTCGGCAGCAGACGAAGCTGACTGGGACGAGCAGAACGTGGATGAAGCCTCGGAGGAAGCCGGACCTCTCCCTTACTGCTCCGTCGACGTCCCAATGGATGACGAAAATCCTTGCGAAAGCGCCAACGCCGAAGTATTTCACCACTTCGCCGACAACGGTTACGTTACACCTGCAGAAGTCAACACCAACGAAGCAGAACGCATAGGGCCCAACTTCATACCTGACCCAGAAGCAGGTGACGAAGCAGCTTATCCCGCGGACACAACTCTCCCCCGCTACACACAGAGTGGCCTCCAGATACTCGGCCTCGTCACTGCGGTCCACGGCACAGATATTCCTAAGGAGCCTGCCACGGTTCAGCAGGCTCTGGTGGGGGAGCATAGGGAAAAATGGCGTGAAGCCATGGACAGGGAACTGAAAGCACTGGAGGAACGCAACACCTGGAAAGTCGTTCCCATCGGCGTGGCACGAAACAAGACAGTACTCATCGGGAAATGGGTCTTCCGTGTGAAGACAAAGGCAGACGGCACCATCGACAAGTTTAAGGCGCGCTGGGTCGTACGCGGCTTCGACCAAGAGCACGGACGCGACTTCACCGAGACATTCGCCCCGGTCAGCCGACACACCTCACTACGAATTCTCCTCGCGATCGCCGCCATGAAGAAGAAGAAACTGCGGCAAATCGACGTCGCCAACGCATTCCTCTACGCACCTGCTGACGCCGAAATCTTTGTCGAACTTCCACACGGCTCCCACGGAGAGCCTAACCAAGTCTGTCAGCTGCTAAAATCCCTGTACGGCATCAAACAAGCTCCAAGGCTGTGGCAGCAGTATCTGCACGCAAGACTCATTCGCATTGGATTCCGCCAACTACCTCACGACCAGGGCATGTATCGGCTCACAAAGGGCACCGACTACATCCTACTGATCGTCTACGTGGACGATTTGCTCTACATCGGCTCGACCGACAACGTCACCACCTAGTTTGAAGGGGAACTATAGAAGGATCTCACGCTCACAGTCTCGTCCACTGTCACGCAGTATCTCGACCTCAACATCCAGGAAGAAGAAGGCGCGATCTACCTCAACGCCGCAAAATACGCCGACACCATCGCCAAACGCTTCGCACTCACGCCGACCACCATCTCCACGCCATACCGCTACACGGCAGGAAATAACAAGGAAGGATCCGCTCCACTAAAGCCCGCCGGCATACGCGACTACCAGAGAAAGCTGGGATGCCTCCTCTTCGCATCTGTCACCTGCCGTCCGGACCTATCGTACTCCGCAAGTCAGCTCGCGACCTACCTCAAGATACCTGAAGCAGAACACATGGCGGAACTCGACCGCGCTCTCCACTACCTCGTCAGCACATCAACCGTCAGTCTAACCTACCACAAGAACGGGACTACGACACCTAAAATTATCGGCTACGTCGATGCCGATCACGCCGGCGACTCCGACAACAGACGCTCACGCACCGGCTACATCTATCGCCTCGAGCCTATTGGACCTATCTCCTGGCAATCGAGCAAGCAGGAGTTAATTGCTCTCTCCTCAGCTGAAGCTGAATATATCGCACTCTGCTCAGCCACCAAGGAAGGACTGTACCTTCGCGAACTTCTGGAGGAGGCGAAGCTGGCTAAGTTACCCAGCTTCTCCCTGTTCTGCGACAACCAGTCGGCAATTCGCATAGCCAACAAAAACGGATTCGCGAACAGAACGAAGCATATCGCCCTGCTATATTTCTTCGTAAAGGACGAGATCGAGAAGGGGAGACTTGAGCTGACTTACTGTCCCACGTCCGAGATGGCAGCTGGTTACTTGACCAAGAAGCTCGGGAAGCAGAAGTTCGAGTACTGCATGCTGCTGACTGGACAAAGCCACGTCACCAGCAGCGACACTCTAGAAGCGAAGGGGAGTGTTGGAAACAATTGATTTAGCGCCTCTGTCGTGTCGAAACACCAAGTCAGAAGCGAAGCGAAACATATCGAAGCATTGGCGAGTCAACCCTCGGAGGTTGAACAAGTGCTGGAGGTTACGCGAAAGTCAAAGGTCAGCGACCTTTGACCTGACAATTACAGCGTGACAGCAAGGACAAACAACTGACTCGCTATTGAGCAGTTGCCCGAGTCGTCACTGTATCGAACCGCAACAGCAACAGTAAAACGGTTATTAACTGTATCTCTTCGTATTCCTTGTACTCTTATAAAAGCTTGTATCTCTTTGTTTTAATCAATCGACTTTGCCCTCACATACCAGCGCAAGGTGGTTCACAAACTTCTCATTAAACGCTTCCGCTATTACATTGTCCTACTCAGAATTTAGTCCTGCAAAGATCCGAAGGGCTTTTCTCAGCCCAACAGCTTACTCATATCCCCCATGTTCCACGGGAATATTTTTTCTTGCCCGGGCGATTCGGTTCATACTGTAGATGCGGGATCTGCACGACACGCCTGGTTCCCGATCATTCTCGAATCCCAAGGGAACAGATTTGCAAAAAACATCGGCGGTGGCGGTGTGCTGCCTAATCAGCGACAAGATTGGTTGCCTGGTTGGTTGGGCAACCGTAACTCCCCACCCCAGGCTTCTGACAAAGCGACAATAGTATAATTGGAGTAACCGTGTTTGGCTTCAACTCGCGGGAATGCTGAACGAGATGAGCGAAAGCACTGTATGTGGCTTCGCAAACATTGGAGGAAATGCATTATGGCAGGTTCCTTGTTGGACCAATTGCCGACAAATGGCTTCATTTTCTGACCTTGCGCCGCCAAACTGTGGTATGGGCGCCGCCCACCTCCCACTCACTGGCGAGAACTAACGAACAAGAGCTCCGTACGAACAAATATTTTTCATCGCTGACGTTGATTTTTCGCGACGTCAACTGTTTTCCCAATCCCTACCACAATCAGGGCAAGGGAGGCCATGGTCATGCCTTCTTGCGAAACCTTACAGGCGGATTGCGCAGTTTGGAGTTTCCTCATGTTTCAGCAACCCACTCGCGCGAGTTTGTTCCGTTCCGTTCAAATTACGTCAGCGCATTCCTTCACACCACACACACCAGCACCAGCACAGTCCTTCTGCCCTAAACCCTGAATACATGAGGCTTGTATGCCTCAAGTCAAGACTCCTCCAGGCAATTGTGGCTGCTGAGTTGGGAGAGATTTCTTTCCCTAACTCGAGAGACACTCCCCCGTCCTCGCCTCCGTGCCACTCTCACAAGACCGCATCGCTTCTGAACGAAGTTACTCCCTAGAGCTAACAGTAACTTGCTATATACTCCAGTAGTGCGTACGCCTTAGAGATCCGTCTTGAATAATCTCCAAACATACTAAATCTAAAAAGGTTATGTAGATAGTTTTGCTACCGTCGTGACTTTGTGCCTCTACTAGAGTTCCTACCTGCGTAAATCGTGCGCAATCTTATCCCCGCGGGTGCCGCTGGCTTTGGCGCTGGCGAGGCGCTCGGCGATCGGCCAAAGCGAGGAAATAAGAGGCGAATCGCGAGCTCTCAGCCTCACCACAAGGCTGAGACAGACATTGCCGCGAATCACGGGGAAATTCGATCAGATCGGATTTAAACTAGGAACTTAGGATCGATGCAGTCGTTGCGACCGCAGCAGCCGCACTCGGCGGCGGGAATGGCGGCCAAACCTCTCCTGATGGGCAACGACGTGCTCACCGGCGCGCAGGTGCGTTCAACGGTCAGGCGCGTTCGAGCGCCAGGCCCGGAAACCCTAACTGCTGCTTCTTCGCGCGGAAATGGCCTGGCGGCGCGAAAAAGGGATCGTCTTCTCGCTCAAACCCTAACCCCAGCAGCCTCTATTTGTCGCGCATTTGGTAGCTTCCAGCAAATTCGGTCATTTTAGCTTTCCCCCAACCCTCCTTTCCTGACCTCTCGCCGTTTTCCATGCACCATCCCTCCCCCCCACTCCACCCGTCCCCCACTCCCTCTTTTGAGGCGCCGCAAAATTCAAGTATGTTGTCCGTGCCCATTTTTGAGACGCCTCAAAACCTATGCCCATGCACCGTTCCCCCACTCCCCACTGCCCCCGCTCCCACCTTCCCCCCGCAGGATTCCCAAACAGCGCCTGCGGCCGCCCTGCCCCATTCCATCCCATTCTCCTACCCCCCCACTTCCCCTCCTTTCCCCCAGAGGACCTCCGCCTGCGCCTGCGCGTGCGCCGGCTACAATCCCCCCTGGCTTCCCCCCTGCCCGCGTCGCCCAAGGACCCCATCCACATGGGCTGAGTGCGCGCCGCTCTGCCCTTTTCTCCTTCACTCCCCCATTCCCCATCCCAAATCCCGCATGTCCCCACTCCCCCCCTTTCCCCCACAGGACCCCCGTCTGCGCCTGCGCCTGCTGCAGTCCCTGCTCGCCTCCTGCCTGCCTGCCCGCCTCGCTCAAGGACCCAATCGATATGGGCAGGGTGCGGGCGGCCGTGAGGATGCTGCATCCGCCCTGTCGCATTCGATTTCATCCCACACTCCTCCACTTCCCATTCACACCGCACAGGACCCCCGTCTGCGCATGCGCCTCCTCCAGTCCCTCCTGGCGTCCTTCCTGCCAGCCTCGCCCAAAGACCCGATCGACATGGGCAGGGTGCGAGCAGCAGACACACGTTGGGGTGCTGCAGGAGCAACACGTGCTGGCCGTGGAACCGGACTGGGCCGCCGTGGGGGGTGCTGCTCTGCGTCCACCCTGCCCCATTCTCCTTCCTCCCCCCTCCCTCCCCTTCCTCTCCCCCAATTCTCCATTTGCACCGCACAGGACCCCCGCCTGCGCCTGCGCCTGCTGCAGTCCCTCCTGACCTCCTTCCTGCCCGCGTCACCAAAGGACCCGATCGACATGGGCAGGGTGCGCGCGGCCGTGGCAGTGCTGCGAGATCAACACGTGCTGGCCGTTGAACCGGACTGGGCGGCCGTTGGGAGTAATAATGACCCCAGGAGGCGGGCTGTAGACGCGTGGTGCAGCAGGGTGTTCGCGTTATTGGCATCTCCGCTGGTGGGTTCTTTCGTTGTGGTTGGTGGTGAGTGCTTGCATGAGGATTGGTTCCATTAGCAGGTGAGTGAGCACGGCACACAGCTTTCTCTGCGCTTTGAAGGAAAGCAAGCCAGTTAATCGCACGGCATCTTCGCTGGCGGCATGAAGGGCCGGTGAATTTGAAATTCAGGAAGTGGAGGAAGTGGTCGTGCGAATCTGAGGGTGTGACTGCCAATTTAATTCAATTTCTGTTAAGAATACTAGATCAAACGTATAAGCTTCCTCGAAAGGTGTTACGTCCTTGCCTCAAATTACCGCTCCTTCCTTAGCTCCTTGCTTTTCCTTATCTCTCCTTAGATCGAGTTTGAACTCAACCAGCTTTACCCTTCCCCCTCTCGTCTCTCCGGACTCTTCTCCTCCTCTCGCAGCCGGCGAATAGGTGGGCGGCATGTGTGCTGGCAGGTGCCACGTGTGCAGAGAGCACAGCTCAGCGCGTGATTGACACGTACGCCAAGTGGTGGGGGCGGCTAGCCGCCCTGCTGAAGGCGAATAAGACAAAAGGAGGCGGTGTGGGAGGCGAGAAGAGCACAAGACAGCAGCAAGAAGGGAAGGAGGAGGATGGGGAAGAGGAGGGGGAGGAGGGAGAGGAGGGGAAGGAGGGGAGAGGGAATGGGAGGGGAAAGGAGAAGGAGAAGGGGGGTGGGAAGGGCAAGGAGGCAATAGTACCAGATACCATGTTTGTGCGTGTTGCTGCTGCTGCTGCCCTTGCTGACCTTTTCTCGAGGTATGGTGTGGACCGTTAAGCTAGGTTGCCCGTGCACACACGCCCTCACGTGCGCAAAAATCCCCTCCCTCCCCCCCACCCCTTCTCCCCCCCTCCATCACATCCCCCACCCCCGCCCTTCCCCCTTCCCCCCACGCACTCACATTTGCGCATGCATGTGCGTACACTCTCACGCACCCCACTTCAACCCATCCCATGACATCTATATAAACATAAACATGTGCAAACACACACACATACTCACCATGCTAATGCGTGTGCTGCCTTTCCTCTCCCCTCGTGCCAGGCTGGCAACTTTGTCTCATGTGCAGAGCGTGCGCAAGGAGGCTGGCACTCTGGCCGGCAAGCTTTGGCCGTTTCTTGCGGAGATGATGGGCAGCACCGAGAGCACACAAGCATGGGTGCGTGGCACACAGGGAATCAAAATAATATCTCTGCTTATTAAAAAATCACTCAGGATCACTCGATTCTCATTTACATGCATTCAGCCTCTACTCTCTGCCACTGGCAGAATCTGTTTGTTACTCTCTGCCACTGGCAGAATCTGTTTGTTACTCTCTGCCAGTGGTTGGTGATGAATCTGATGGTTTTACTCTCACCTCTTTCCAGGCACACTTTTATTCCAAAGTGCTCTCAGTGCATTTCACCCTAAATTCGTTTTTGTTGCGTCTAGTCTATTGCATTGATCTCAGGAACGCTGTTTGTTTGCTTACATGTCTATGGCATGAGACTACCAATATGTTTCAAGGCCTCTCCTTGCTTCGCCCACCCATTTTCTGCCATTCTCGTTCGCCTATCCATTCTCTGCCACGCCTCTCCGTCCCCTCCCTCCCTCCTTCCCTCCCTCCCTCCCTCCCTCCCTCCCTCCCTCCTTCCCTCCCTCCCTCCCTCCCTCCCTCCCTCCCTCCCTCCCTCGCACCCTCTCTGCGCGCCTCCTGTGCCCTCCCTCTCTGCCCTTCCTTCCCCCTCCTGCCAGAGCGTGTGCCTTTCGCTGCTCTCTCTGCTGCTTCGCTCCTTCCCCTCCAGCTTCAAGCACCATGTGCCAGCGGTATGTAGTCAGCTGGTAGTGCTTTAGGTTGTTAAAATCTTTGTCGCTACAGCCGCAGTATGTTCCCACAAGTTGTTGTTTTTTCTTCTTCTTCATCATTGATTCAATATCTAAATCCTATTATTGCACCGCTAGTACTTATATTTCTGTTCTCTCCTCTCCCACACACTATCCTCAGATGGAGGCTCTCCTGGTATCGAAGCTGTGCTCTCCCAATGCGCCCGCATCAATAGTCCATGTGAGTGTGGGCGGTTGTTGCGGGGATACACGATGACCTGTAGAGTCGACTCGTAGTTCTCAATCCCAATCCTCTGATTTTCCATGTGGGTATGGGTGATGCGCATGCGCGCGTGCGTGTGCATGTGTGTGTGTGTGTGTCGCCTAGTGCATGCCCCTTCATCCATCGTTCACATGTTGCGGGGACCCAAAATGACTTGCAGTAGTAGACTGTAAGGTCGGCTCATCATTACCCAACTTGTGGTATCGGACATCCAACTCATTTCAAGCAACATTCCCCCTTCCCCCACCCACTCCCCCACCACACCAGTCCTGCTGCAGCCTGCTCGTGCTGCTCCCCCGTGCCTGCCTCCGGTGACCCCTCCCTCTCGTCGGCCTTCATGCGCTGCCTGCTGCTGCTGCTGCTTTCTGAGATGCGACTCATATCAACCATCATTCCCGTATCCCTCGTCCCTGGCCCCCACCACCAATCCCCACCAGTCCTGCTGCAGCCTGCTCGTGCTGCTTCCCCGTGCCTCCGGGGACCCCGCCCTCTGGTCGGCCTTCATGCGCCGCCTGCCGCTGCTGTCCCCTGAGATCCAACGCATGTCTACCGTTTCTTTTCTAACCCACCCTTTCCACTCGCCAGTCCTGCTGCAGCCTGCTCGTGCTGCTTCCCCGTGCCTCCGGGGACCCCGCCCTCTGGTCGGCCTTCATGCGCCGCCTGCTGCTCTCCACGCACGCCGACCTCGATACTCTGCTCTCGGGCTTCGAGGATGGTAAGCAGCGTGCTGCTGCCCGGTGGGTGAAAGAGTGAGCACCAGTGTTACCATGCATGGCCCACCAGTGTTACCATGCATGGCCCACCAGTGTTACCATGCATGGCCCACCAGTGTTACCATGCATGGCCCACCAGTGTTACCATGCATGGCCCACCAGTGTTACCATGCATGGCCCACCAGTGTTACCATGCATGGCCCACCAGTGTTACCATGCATGGCCCACCAGTGTTACCATGCATGGCCCACCAGTGTTACCATGCATGGCCCACCAGTGTTACCATGCATGGCCCACCAGTGTTACCATGCATGGCCCACCAGTGACCCTTCGCTCTGGTCCACTTTATGCGCCGCCTGCTGCTCTCCACGCACGCGGACCTTGACACTCTGCTCTCAGGATTTGAGGATGGTAAGGGGCGTGGATTTGAGGATGGTAAGGGGCGTGGATTTGAGGATGGTAAGGGGCGTGGATTTGAGTGCTGCCACTTGTGCTGCAAGTGGTGCTTTCAGTTGCTGAGTGAAGCTTGAGCCCTTGCTCTGGTCTCTCTGGTCTCTCTGGTCTCTCTGGTCTCTCTGTTCTCTCTGTTCTCTCTGGTCTCTCTGGTCTCTCTGGTCTCTCTGGTCTCTCTGGTCTCTACGAGCTGACGAAGGTGTGAGCTGGCATAGGTGTGAGCTGGCATAGGTGTGAGCTGGCGAAGGTGTGCGAGCTGGTGCATGTGGGTGGGTGCTGCTGCCATGTGTGCTGGTGTTGGTATCTCTCTCCCGCATTCGGTTTGAGTTTCTCCCATGCCTTCCAAGAACGAGTTACCTGTTGGATCCAGGTCGAAACTGCTTTGCTATGCTGCCATGTGTGCTTTGCTATGCTGCCATGTGTGCTTTGCTATGCTGCCATGTGTGCTTTGCTATGCTGCCATGTGTGCTTTGCTATGCTGCCATGTGTGCTTTGCTATGCTGCCATGTGTGCTGGTGTTGGTATCTCTGCTGAGTAAGGCGTGAGATATATTGGAGTGACTTTTGAGAATTCTCTCCAATATAGGTAAGGCGTGAGATATATTGGAGTGACTTTTGAGAATTCTCTCCAATATAGGTAAGGCGTGAGGCCCTCCCTCCCTCCCTCCCTCCCTCCCTCCCAACGCTCCTTCGCTCCAGGAATGCAGTGGCCCTGCTGCCGGTGCCAGTGGTTCTTGAGAAATTTCAACACAATCGTCTCCTCATCACCCCCCCCCGCCTTTCGTCCCTGAATCCACACTGCAGAGCCTGTGCGATCCAAGGCCCTGGCAACTCTCCTGCACTCCAAGAGCGCAGCTTTGCCGGTGCCTCTGGTCCCCGAGCATGCACACTGGATCGCTGCTAACTGCTCCAAGGAGGACGAGCAGCAGCAGGAATCAAGCGGGCAGGGGCAGCAGGGGCGGAGCAAGCAAGGAGGGCAGACGTCAATGTCAAACGCAAATGGCAGCGGGAGCGGCAGCGGCAGCGGCAGCAGCAGCAGCGGTGGAGATCCCGAGGCGGTGTTCCGGCGGGTGGTGCCACGGCTGCACGCGCTGCTGCTCACGTGCCAGCTGGCGATCTCTCAGGGGTTCTCTGCTCCGGTGGGTTGGTTAATTCTGAAGGTTCTCGAAAGGGGTTGTAAGTGGTTGGGGGAGTGCAGATGTGGTGGTATGGGTGCCTTGTGCCCATGCACCCTGTGTTCCCCTTCCCCTTTTGTTCCCCTTCCCCTTTTGTTCCCCTTCCCCTTTTGTGCCCGTTCCCCTTTTGTTCCCCTTCCCCTTTTGTGCCCCTTCCCCTTTTGTTCCCCTTCCCCTTTTGTTCCCCTTCCCCTTTTGTGCCCCTTCCCCTTTTGTTCCCCTTCCCCTTTTGTTCCCCTTCCCCTTTTGTGCCCGTTCCCCTTTTGTTCCCCTTCCCCTTTTGTGCCCCTTCCCCTTTTGTTCCCCTTCCCCTTTTGTTCCCCTTCCCCTTTTGTTCCCCTTCCCCTTTTGTGCCCCTTCCTCTTTTGTGCTCCATACCATCTTGTTCTCCTGCCACTTGTGCTCGTTGCCTCTACCCTACCTCTCTCCCCTGCCTCTCCTGCGTACCTCTCGCCCCCTCTCCTGGCCCCTCCCTCCTGCCATGACCCCTCCCTCCTGCCATGACCCCTCCCTCCTGCCATGACCCCTCCCTCCTGCCATGACCCCTCCCTCCTGCCATGGCCCCTCCATAATCCTCGAGCCTCATCACTTGTTCCGATTCCCCTCCCTCCCTCCCCTTTCCCCCCCTCCTGCCTCCCAGGTCCCAGCGCCCCTCTCCGCCCTGCTGGCTCTCGCCAACCGCCTTGTATCAGCCGATGCTGTAATTAGACTCACGCAAGTGGAGGGCACAGGGATGGTCATCCCTCTCTCTCTCCTCGCTTCTGGAGGGAGAGGAGGGAGAGGAGGAGGGGGAGGGGGAGGGGGAGGAGGGGATGGTTTTGATGCGGGGGAAGGTCCGGACGGCATGGACTCGGCGTTTTCTGCCGCCCGCCAGCTGGCGCTGTGCGTGGAGCTGCCAGCGCTGCAGTGTGCGGGGCTAAGGATGATGCTGGCCGCGCTGCAGGGCGTGAGGAAGTGAGTGTGAAGGGATGGAGAGAGTGAGAACATGAGTGTGAAGGGTTGAATGGGATGGAGTGAGAAAGTGGGTGTGGTGTGTTGGTTAGAGCTGAAAATTGAGTGCTGATGAAGTGATAATATGTTGTGCTAAGGAAGTGAGAAAAAACAGTGAATTTTCGAAATTGTACCATGCACCTTATACATTTCCATCCTCTCCCCCTTCCCCTTCCCCCACTTCCTTCCCCTCGTGCCTCCTTCCTCCGTTTTCCTCCGTTTTTCTCAGCCACATCCTGCCCCATGCAGCCACCATCTCACACACGCTTGTATCAGCCTTTCGCCGAGCAGCAGCAGCGGGGGACGACGCCACAGCGCTGCCATTCAAGGTGCTGCTCTACCGCACGGCCACACAGTACCTCTATGCGCTGGGCGCCGGTAAGTCCCATCTAAGGTTATTTTCGTACATGGCAGCTGCAGCAGCAAGGGGGGATGACGCCACAGCACTGCCCTTCAAGGCACTTCTCTATTGCACGGCCACGCAATACCTATATGCCCTGGGTGCAGGTAAGCCCTTTCAGGTTTATTTTCTTACATGGCAGCTGCAGGGGGGGAGCAGACGACGCCACAGCACTGCCCTTCAAGGCGCTGCTCTACCTCACGGCCACACAGTACCTCTATGCGCTGGGCGCGGGTGAGTGTTAAGATGTGTCGGACCTGGGCGCTACTGACTCGCCTCCTGCAATCAACACTGCCCTTCAAGGCGCTGCTCTACCGCACCACAAGCATGGCCACACAGTGTGTACTTCATGTGCACCATGCGCTGGTGCGTTGCATATTTTTTTGAGTCGACTCAAAAAAAGGCGCTGCTCTACCGCACACCACAAGCATGGCCACACAGTGTGTACTTCATGTGCACCATGCGCTGGTGCGTTGCATATTTTTTTGAGTCGACTCAAAAAAAGGCGCTGCTCTACCGCACACCACAAGCATGGCCACACAGTGTGTCCTTCATGTGCAGCATGCGCTGGTGCGTTGCATATTTTTTTGAGTCGACTCAAAAAAAGGCGCTGCTCTACCGCACCACAAGCATAGCATGGCCACACAGTGTGTCCCTTATGTGCACCATGCGCTGGTGCGTTGCTTGCAGTGCCTCTTCTGTCGCACTGCCACCCACCTGTCTGTTTGTACCGTTCCGTACCCCCCAACAGCGCCCTTCTAGGTACTGCCCTACAGCACGGCCACGCTGCTACAATGTTCCTCTATGCCTGAGCCTCGTCCTTCTAGGTCCTTCCTGATTCGTTGCATCCTGCAGTCAGCTACCCCACCTCGTCCCATCTCCTCCTTCCCCCTCCCCCCTTCCGCCCGTTACAGGCATGATGACACAGATCGCCCCCATAGTGGTGGGGCGGGGCATCACAGACCTCAAGGAGACCGTGGTCACGTCCCCCATACCTATCCCTTTCCCTTGCCCTTTCCTCTCCGCTCTATCCCCTCCCACCTACCACACCCTCCCCCTCCACCAGGCATGATGACGCAGATCGCCCCAATAGTGGTGGGGCGGGGCATCACAGACCTCAAGCAGGCCGTGCCGGCACTCTTCTCCCCAACCAACCAGCGTTCGCCAGGTGGCAGCATGGCATTCGACGCCGCTCCCGGCGCGGCAGCAGGCAGCGGGAAGCTGGGCGGAGCGGGCAGCGGAGGGGGAAGTGCAGGGGGAGGGGCGGGGGGAGGTGCAACTGGGGCAGGTGTTATCTCGGGCAGTCGGTGCCTGCAAACCGTTGATCTGCAGATCGCCATTCTGGAGGCTCTTGAGGCGCTGCTGGTGGCGGTGAGTGTGAGGGGAAGGGGAAGAGTGAGAAGGGGTGTGGTGGGGGAGTGTGTGGTGGTGACTTTGTTCGAGGGGGGAGAGTGTGAGGGGGCGTGAGTGGAACAGGGAAAGTGTGGAGGGGGGGTGTGAGAGTGGGAGAGGGTGTGGGGCTGGGCGGGAGTGTGGGGAGGGGCAGAGTATGTGTGAGAAGGGGTTGAGGTTGCAGGGGGGATAGAGTGTGCGTGCCTCGATCCGGTGGGTTCAGTTCAGTGTGCGTCCATCCATGCAGCTGCCTCTCCATCCATCCATCCCCCTTTCTCTTTCCACTCTCAGTGTGGCCGCTTGCTACCTTGTGGGTCACTCACATGCACAGAGCTCACTTCTGTACTTCCCGACGTTGCAGGGAGTTTTTGAGAATTCTTTACATAGCTCACATTGCTACCCTGCACAGAGCTCACTTCTGTACTTCCCACTCACTCTCCTCTTTGTCAACTCCCCTGCACTCTCCTCTCAGGGTGGCCCTCTGTTACCGGAGCACTGGCGCATGGAGGTCGACGCAGCACTCACCTGCATGAAACTCACATGCATTTTGTTCTCCCCTCCCCTCCCTTCCCGTCCCCTCTCCTCATCTTCCCACCAATCCCAGGGCGGCCCTCTGTTACCGGAGCACTGGCGCATGGAGGTCGACGCAGCACTCACCTGCACCGCTGCCATTGCCCTCGGCACCGGCGGTTACGACTCCAATTTCAACTCCACTCACGGTTACAACTCCGGTTACAGCTCCCCCAGCACACACGCGCACATGCCCTGGACGCCTGGGTCGGACCGTGCAATCAGATCGCTCCAGCTAGCAGCATCGCGTGCGCTCCTAGCCTCCCTCCTAGCCCCATGCAAATACCGCCCACCGTACCTCGGGCAAGCACTCAGAATCTTCCGGCAGGGGAGGCAACAGCTGGGGACGGAGGTAGCTGCGCTCTGCTCCTTTGCTCTGCTGGCTCTCGAGCCGGTGTTGCATCCCAGGTGTCTCCCCCATTCGTCCTCCATCCACCCGCTCTCGTCGCTGCTCGTCCCGTCGCAACCCCCGCCGAACCTGCAGCAGCAGCAGATGCGGCAGCAGGAGCAATTGCAACAGGAGCATTTACAGCAGCAGCAGATTTTGGGCGGCTCACCCGCCCCTTCTGCCAGCCGGCCGGCCAGTTCCAACAGCCTGCTGCCGCCTGCCGCCCAGACAACTCTCGCCGCCCCTGCTGCCGCCCAGCTGCCGGTCCCTGGCTCTATGGCCATGAATCTCTCTGCTGCTGTGGGAGGGGGTGCTGCAGGGGGGATGGGCGGAGGTATGGTGGGGGCAATGGGTGGGGGCATGGGCGGAGGGATGGGCGGAGGTATGGTGGGGGCAATGGGTGGGGGCATGGGCGGGGGGATGGGGGATGGAGGAGCAGGGGGAGGAGGTGGAGTGGGGGCGTATGGGGGGATGCTTGGAGCAGCTGGGGGAGGTGGTGGAGGGTTCACAGGGGGAATGGGCGGGGGGATGGGTGGAGGGATGGGCGGAGGAATGGGCGGGGGGATGGGAAGAGGGATGGGCGGAGGAATGGGTGGGGGGATGGGAGGGGGGATGGAGGGCGGAATGGGTGGTGGTGCCACAGGGCTTGGAGTGCTGGGTGGCGATGTTTGGCCGTTAGCGGACCTGTGGACGGAAGTGGACGGGTACGGCACATTCGGGCACGACCTGATGGAGATCGGGGGAGGCGCATCTGGTGCAGGTGGAACTGGTGGGGCCGGGGCAGGTGGAACTGGTGCAGGCGTGACTGGCATGGTCACCACAGGGGGACAGGCAGGTACGGGAGAAGCTGGGGGGGCATCTGGCGGGTTTGGGTCCATGGAGGGACAAGCAGCAGCAGCAGCAGCCATGCCTATGGATACTGATGGGGCTGCTGGTCCTGTTGCCGCTCCTGCCATGCCCATGGCCCCTCCTCCTGCGCCTCCTCCTCCTGCCCCCAAGGATGTGCGGGCTGCAGCTGCTACGGCCACTGCTGCTGCTGCTAATACTGCTGCTGCACCACCAGAGGAAGCAGCAGCAGGAGCAGCAGGAGCGGGTGCAGCACCTGCGGTTTCATCACAGAGTGACAAAGGAAGTGGGGGGCGAGGGAGAGGAGCGAACCAACGAGGGAAAGGGGCAGCAGCAGGAGCAGGAGGAGGGGGCGGAACAGGGGGAGAAGGTGGAGCAGAGAAGGGAGGGAAGCGTAGAGATGTGGGGAAGGAGATTTTTATAAAGACGCTCGCGCCGGCTGTGGCCCGATTCCTTAGTGCCAATGACCCCTCCTCCATCTCTGCCTCTGCTGGTGCTTCCCCCTCCGTGTCTGCTGCTCCTGCTGGCAGCAGTGGGTCTGCTGGTAAGAGCAGGAGAGGGGCTGCTAAAAACGACCAAGGCACTGCTGCTGCTGCTGGTGCTGCCGCTGCTGCCAGTGGTGGGGCTGGTGGTGGGTCTACAGGCGGATCAGGGTCAGGGAAGCAGGAGAATGAACAGGCTCAGACTGGAGGAGGTTCGGCGCTCGCAGGTTCGGCACCTGCAGGTTCGCATGGATACGGGGCAAGGAAGGTGGTAACCACTGTGGAGGAGGCGGATGCTGCTGGGCTGGAGGCTGCTAGGAGGGCGAGGGAGTCCCGAACCAAGGCTGCTGCCATGGCTCGCATGCTGCAGGAGTCTGGCTACCTGGGGACTGGAGGCTCGGGAACTCCAGGTTCGGGTGCTGCAGGTCTGGGGACTGCGGGTTCGGGTTTGGGCTCCGGTAAGGTTGGAGGTTCGGGACAAGAAGGGCAAGCTGGTTCTGCAGCTGGTGTTGGGGGAAATGCTGCTGCTGCTGGTGCTACTGCTGCTGCTGCTTCTGGTAGTGGTGGTGGTTGTGGTGGTGGTGGTGGTGGGAGAGGGGCATCTGGTGGTGCTGCAACTTCAGTTGCTCCATCAACTGGAGCTGATTCTGACTCTGATGGCCCGTTGCCTGAAATTGTAGTTGAGGATGACCTTGAGTTCTGAGACTTGCTGCTCTTGACGTTTAGCCAGTGATAATATATATTTGGCCAGCTTATATTTGCAGGTGTTCTGTAGCCTCCGTAAGGTCATGCTGATTCCAGTATGAACTTGCAGGATTCAGCACTCATGATTCAGAATCAAGTGTCCAATACTAGATTATCATATGATACCACACCTACTCGGTCTCCCTTATTGCATCCAAGACATACAGTGCATGTTGTGAATATTAGGGAAAAAATGCTCAGCGTATATTCCAATTCGAACGATCACATCAAGACACCAATGGCACTACTACTCAACTAGTTAGGAGGCACATCAACCATGGCAGAGGGCCAGCAGCATCCTGCACTGGGAGATGGCCAAAAAAATCGCAGCACCTTATGCAGCAAGGCACAGATGTCTGCGGTAATACCACTCAATCATAAAGCCTAGAGCAGGCCCTGTACACGTCAACAGTCACCAATCAGGTGCCTGCTAAAGGCGAAAACGGTCAGATTCGCACAGCATAGCAGAAAATTCCACGCGCGGATGCGGTGACGATGCAACACTCTCGCGAAGCCGCGGTGGACGACGCACGAGCTGCTCGCTGTCTGTTCCTTATCATCCGCAAGTTATTGCACGTGCGGTAACCAGAATCATTCACACTGCCATGCTGTCTCAGCGAGCGACAGTGACCTGGTCGAAATCTCTCGGAAGAGTCTGCGACCGCGACAGGTTACGCGGTGCAGTCGTCAGTGTCACAGCAGGAACAGAGCTGCTTCCGCTCACCGCCTTCCTCAGCGAAGGCTCGAACGGAGACCTGGATGGACTCGAACACACGCTGCCGTTAACCGATGCATCCAGTGACGCGTACGATCCAGAGAAGCGGCGAGAGCTCGAAGCCGACGATGGAGGGCTTAACTCTGAATTCGGAGACCGAATAGAGCCGCTGGGCGTGAGTCGTCCCGATGGTGACATCGAGGGTCCGCGGTGGGTCTTTTCCATCATAAGACGGCCGTTTTGCCGGACGCACCGGATGGCGACGGGGGAAATAGTCCGAATCTCCATTAGGGTTACGTGGCCGTTCTTCCTGACGGGATGGACTGTGACTCCGGACCGGATGCAAGGGAGCGAACGGAAGGATTGACCATGGTTGCTGTGGCTTTGTTGTTGGCGGCCGGACGATTGTCGGGAAAGGTGGAGTTTTGAGGTCGATGATGGTTGCTGGTGTTGGTGGTGGTCGTGGAAGTCAGCGTGTGAAATGGAAGTTTGCGAAGGCGGTGAGAGAGGCTGGGCAGACGCCGCTGCTGAGCAGCTGTCGATGAAGTCAGGGTATGACGCTTGACGGAAATTCACGGGCTCTGAGGTAAAGTCTTCGCACATGTATGAACTGGTTAAAGCAACAGCCATGGTGGAAGTCTCTAAAATGGAACTCGTGGAGTTGCTAGAAAAGCGTTGGTTTTGTTGCTCAAGTAGCTAGTTAGAGCAGACAGGGAAGTTGAGCAGGGTTGGTTTTCTAAGGTCAGGGTTGGTGGAGATTGGGAGGAGGATGAGGGTTTGAGCGAACGGCTGAAACAACCAGCAGAGCAGAAGCAACAAGAACGATTGTGGCTTCAACGGCTAAACTGGCGAAACGGTGAACAAATAGTGCAACGCGACGCCCTTGGGATCGTCTGCTTGTGGTTGGAAGGTGGAAAATGCTGCTCCACGCAGGGGAAATCTGGGTGTGGTTGGTGCCAGGTGGGAACGCACGGCTCTGAAACAGTGAACTTTCCCCAGCCTCACACCAAAGAAGTGGATAGAATTAATGTCGCGACGACAGTCATAACTACACGTAAATTTTCCAGGAGTGTCCCCATTTTGTTTATGATCCATAAGGAAGGTTCTGTATATACCCCAGTTCCTTTTGAGTATGGTCCAGAATAAATATCGTGGCGGGAGGTTTTGGTGACAAGTGTACTAAGGGTCAGATTTCACCAGGGGCTACTTCTAGATTGAGTAGAACATGATGGAATGTTTAGTAGAAATGCAGGAGTGGCATATTGCGGTCAAAAAAGGAGTTTACCCCGAAATATTCACAGGAGGTGGCACACGTCCAATCTAACAGCTGTTTCTCCAAAGTTGTAGTTCTAAGGACGTGATGCAGATCAGGCGATCGATCGCCTCAGATCGTCCGATCGGGTCGGCTCGGATCAGATTGCATGAGATTGCCCCAATTTTCGGCAGAGATGGTTACCGTTCGCGAATATCGCCAAACCCCGCGATCATCTGTTGATTGCGATAGATCGCAAGCGTCCGATCGCAATCGACAGATTGCCCCCGATTGCATGCGATTGCCTCAAAATACCTCTGCGGCTTCTTGGAAATGGTAGATTGCCCCAGTCTGACGCCATCGCACTCAGATCGGGCCAATCTGTACCGCGTCCTAAACCATCTGTGACGTCACCGAAGTGACCTTCCTAAGTTTAATAGTCTTGATTACTTTTAGTGCATTTGTGCAGGGTGTTCCGGGCTTGATTTTAACATCTCTGTTGCTTACTCTGAGGGCTGATGGTGCAATCACACCGATCTAGAAACTCCAATCTAGAACCTCGTCGGGCAACGAGCGCCGCGACTGTTTATCCGCAACACATGTGGCTGTGATCGGATGAGGAGGTGGAGCTGTTGGAGCGCATTTAACCGCGTCGCGGCTAGCCATATCCATGGCGCTCGTTCCCAGCTGCCAGCGACAAGCTCCCCTGAAATGCGTCACCACTCCGCGACGTGAGCCATCTCCAAGAAAGCTTGCGTGGCATGAGGGCCTCCAACCCTTGGAAGCCACGACTCTGCGTTTTATTCACGGGAAAAATGTTCGCTGTTTTGTGGTGGTGGTGATGGTAGGGTGGTCCCGGAGAAGTACTGTAGAATGGGAACATCCAATCCCAAAGCTCTAACAACCCCAAAAACAAGGCGGAAAGGCAGGAAACTGCACGGATGCAAAGCCAATGATCGCCTTGGCGTCGCCATCTCATCTCATGACAAACTACCACACCACATGCTCCTCCCCCCGCTCCTCAAGACCACAAACTAATGAAGCGATGGCAGATCGCCTCCACGGCGGGAGGGCTATCTTGCGGCCAAGCGCCGCCGAAGGGATCAGATATTCACCACAAGCAGGTGTGGTGTTCGAGCAAGAGTAAATCCTTCAACAACCGGACGTGACACAAAGGAACGAAATACTCCGAAACCACAAAAGATATGTTACTATTATTCGGAATAAATGTTACATGGGGAATTCTAATGTTGTTATGAGTTGTACGAAAGAAGAGTGCGCAGTATTCAATAACACGGAAATGAGATTTTTTGAAAGTGTGAAACACTTTCTAAAAATGTATATTTTGAAAGCGCAGCTGACTGTAGTGAAGCAAGGCAACTGAAAATGCATATTCCCGAGTACATAACGAGGGTTGGAGGCCATTTGGCCTCCACCCACGTCTTCATTTCGGAACTTCACAGTTCCGCTCCCCCCCCCCCCACCCACCCCTAGTTGATCTCTATGTAATGTTTTAGTTGGACGAGAATGATGTAATTGCCCAATTGAAATGAAGCACGTTGCCTTGCAAGAAACAGAAAGCAAGTTTTCTCAATGTGATAACAACTACTGAGCAAACAACGAGGCCTAGACATAATATAGCTAAGCTAGCTAGGCCGAGGTCACGGAGTCGCGCGAAGGTCGGGTGCAGGTTTGGGGTTAGGAAACCCGAAGGCGACGCGGAGGACGTTCGAAAGGCGATGTGATTGGACCGAGCCTGAACTCCGAAAAAATGGACTTGTACGCGTACGGAGTGCCTCAGTAAGGAATTAGGAAAATTCCTTACACTACCCCCCCCCTTTAAGAAAGGTGGTCAATATCAGGCACGCGTCGGCGGGAAATATAATCCCGGAGTACCGAGTGGCTCTATAGTGAGTCAGCCGGGACCCACGTGTCATCGTCGCTTGTGCGATCCACCCATCGCAGGAGGAAATCAACGTGGCATCTAGCTGGTGTCGCACGAATGCGATGATCCAAAATCTTCCAGGGTTGGAGTGTCAGATTTGCGACGGGCCAGACACTTGGCGCAATGTTAGGTCGAGCGACGTCGGACGGCTACGGAGCCACGTAGTGACGAAGCAAACTGACTTGGAAGGCGTCGTGGATCTTCCAGTCGTCCGGTAGCAAAAGTTTCGCTGTGACCGGGGTCAGCATCCGAATGATGCAGAAGGGTCCCACGTATCGGGGACGCAGTTTAGCAGGTTGGGCCAGTCAAAGATTTTCCGTGTCCAGAAGGACCATCTGCCCGTCGCGGAAGTGTAAGTTCCGTCGATGTCTGTCAGCATAGCGGCTGGCAACGGTGTTAGCCTTCCAAATAAATTCCGCTGCTTTGTCGCGGGCTTCTTGGAGTTCCGAAACGAATTGCTGCGACCGTGGTACCGGGTTGTCGGGGGTCGTTGAAGAGGGTAACACGGGGTCTATCCCGTGATTGAGGTAGAACGGCGACTGATTAGTCGCCGTAGACGGTGCATTGTTGTACGCAAACTCGAGCATGGGGAGTGAATCCTCCCACTTGGTGATGCCGGGGCAGTTCGTGCGAATCAACTGCTCCATCGTCTGGTTTGTCCTCTCTGTCTGTCCGTCGGTTTGCGGGTGGTATGACGACGAAAACTGCAGGCGGGTTCCGTACTGGGTCCACGTTTCCTGCCAGAACTTCGACGTGAATTTCGGATCCCGATCGCTGATGATCGCCGAAGGTAACCCGTGTAGGCGTACGACGGTGGAGATGGAGCTTCGCTGTTTCTTTGGCTGTGATCGTCGTGCGGCATGGTGTGAAGTGCACCATTTTCATTAATCGGTCCACGACGACCAGTACCGAGTCGTTGCCACTTGCGCCAGCTGGCAGCCCGGTGACGTAGTCTATTGTCACATGTTGCCACGACCGTTCGGGTGGCTCGAGAGGTTGCAGCAATCCAGCTGGTCGTTGGCGTGATGACTTCATTGCCTGGCAGGT